TCCAGTTTTAAGACTGGGATTAAGACTTTCCTTTTTGATAAATCCTATAGTTAGGGTCGGCTTGGGTTTCCTGAGCTGTCCCTTAGTTATGCTGCTATAGGCTTAGACTGCTGGAGGACAAACTGACCAGGTCCTCACTCTGCTGCTGTCTTTACTTACTCAACCTGTTTGTATTTGTAATTATTTTTATTTTAGCTTGGGTTTTTTGTCTTTCCTCCTATAGAAAGTTCATCTGGACCAGTCACTCTGTGTTCATTGCTACTTCCTGTCCTCTCAAACCAGCCGGTCGAAGCAGACGGCCGATCGTCCTGAGCTGGTTCTACTGGAGGTTTCTTCCTGTTAAAAGGGAGTTATTCTTTTCCACTGTCTCCTTTGTGCTTGCTCAGGATGGGAGACTGTGACGAAGTGAAGATTCAACGCACTCTGCTTCTTTAGATAGACAACTTTTACTAACTGGCTTTTTTATGTATATGAATGTTTCTGTTCAGTGACCTGAGACGACTTCTGTTGTGACGTGGCGCTATTTAAATAAACTGAATTAAATTGAATTGTAAAACTAATCTGTTGAAATACTGACTGTAAATTAAATATGTATGTTTGATCTGCTGTCCTCATGTAATCAAACAATATTCATTGTTCCATTGTTCAAACATCAATCTTTTATTTTCCACCACCTGTCGACTCAGAGAATGAGAAAGGACGTAATCACAATGAAACTAAAGACAACTGTGCTGCCGCTTTTAGCCAACTGAGATATGAGCCAATGTCCACAATTTATTAAATATACGACCTCTAAAAATATTTTCTAGAAACATGAGAATTTCATCAATAGGAAACTTTATATGAAGCCGATCAAAGAAAAAATCTTGGTCACTCTAATTAAAACAAAGAAATTTGTCATATTAACTGCTAAAATTTTCAGTATGAATTAAAAGAGCCTATTAAACGTTGTCAAATGTATCATTTTATTATTGGACAATAACACAAAAACTGCTTTAAGATATTTTCCAAGATTTGTTTATACGTTTAACAAATAACTGCAGTAATAGCATAATAATAAAAGTATGTATGATTCTGAAAAGAATAATTAAATGACAAGTTCCTGTGAAATAATTTATACCAACGTTACCCAGAAAAGTTGAAAATACTCCTAAATATCATACATTTTAACCCTCAGAAGGTACTATAACTTTATTTTTTGTGAATAATAAACTAGTCAACCTTTATATAGCTATATCAGCATATATATGGGGTGCCATTTGTAAAGTTGCATAGTCAAAAATTAACATAAATATTTTGGTTTATTTTGCTTTTAATAAGAAAAAAATAGCCTTTTTTTTAAAAGTCATATTTTCACCACGTTAGCCATACATTTATAAATGTCAAAGTTCCCAACTAAATATTTAATTTACAAGATAAATATTTGGTTTACAAACTAAGTACTCAACTTGCAAGTTAAATATTTCGTTACTAAACTAAATATTTAGGTGTAAGAAATTAAATATTGAGTTAATAAACTAAACTTGCTAGTTAAATATTTAATTTGTTAGTTAAATATTTAACTTGTTAGCTACATA